TTTTTTATTTCTTCATTTTTTATAAAATCTTGAAATAAATATTAGAAGAATATTTTAAAAACATGATTAGATGTTCATTTTATTTCTTACTTTTTTAAATGAATTTTAACTACTACATTTTTTTATAACTTTCTATATTTTGTATATTTTATTTTAATCGAGCTGGAAACAATTTATATTCTGAAATAATTTATTTTAATTTCCTTATCCTTATCCTAATTATATTTTAGAAATGCATTTACTCTATTTGCTTCTCTTTTAACTATGATTAACATGTGCTTTACAATATCATAATACTATATTGTTTTTATTTTTTATCAATCTTATCATTTGCTTGAAAGATGTTTTGGCAATCTTTGTAAATGATTCTTTATGTATTTGATGTATTCTATCATAGTTTTATAGTTACTATAGATTGTGAATGTTAAGATTTGAATAATACATCTTTTTCTATTACTTTTTATTCGAACATTAATAATTAATTTAACAAAAAAATAATATTAAATATTAATATAAAAGTAATAGAAATTCAATACTAAAAAAAAAAATACAAGATATACTCAAATCCAATTCCTGCAATATGTATGTTAAAGGAAACTTTCTATGGAATACGCTTATAACCATGGAGAGGAATGTAAATAAATAGTTCCGATTAAAATATTTCTAGAAATGGTGATCAAGAAATAAAAAGAATCTAACCAAATAGAGAATGAATTTAAAATCAGTGCTTTCTCATACTGAGATTAGGATGAAGAAATTTGGAAGATTTATAGGAGTCAATCAAATAAATATACGATCTGATTGAGATATAAATTAAAACATATATAAAATCATTAAAAACAATATCGCTCCATTAGAATTTCAAATACTGATTTAGACAATTTAGTATAAATCCTAGTAGGAGAACATGTAAATTTATAGAATGTTTAAGAAAGCTTTAATTCAAGAAAGATTGAATGGATGGAGAATTTATTGGGTCGAGAAATTTAGTCTTTCAATGAAGAAATAAAAAAGAAATTAATAAGATTTTGTCATTAGAAATATTTCAAAAATACTTTATCAGGCGTTTAATAGCAATGCTATTTTTAAAAAGTT